AATTAAGGAGCTCTTATGAACCTATTGTTCCTTGTGTGGAACTAGCAAGGGAATGCTGGTGAAAGGCAAAGCTTTGGGAGGTCCCACAACTTAGTGAGATTGAAAATTTCATCACACAAAGACTCAGGTTCAGCATGGAACCATGCGATGGCATTTCCAAAGCGTGCAGCCACTTTTGTCTTGTGTGTAAATTTTTCCCTTAAATAAAAACACAGAAGGCCGTGTCAGATGTCATGGTGTGGCTGTACTCTAACTCAACCCAACTGCTGAAACAAAAATAACGATTTTTATCAAACTCCTTTAGCCATTCCTCCAAGTTGACTTTCATGACACCCCTGTGGCTATCTGTTGCATGACTCAGCTGGCTATGTTAGAGCACATTCTGTGCTATCGTAAATAAAATCTGAGGAGACAGGTTATTTTTCAGAGAGAAAAAGCATTATTTCTACACCATTGTTTTCAGTGGTAGGGATTGAACCCAGGCTCTAGTACTAGGCCTGAACGCAGGCCTGTGCTATCTCCAGTCCTGATTACAGAATTTCTTTTGGTACTTTTTTAAATCAGTGAATTAAAAATTTACATCTTTAAAAAGCTATTGACAAATAAAAACACCAATACTTTCTCTATATGTTCTTTGGATGTCCAAAATAACAATGGAAAAAAAATTACACATTTAGATTTACAGATATGCAAGGCAAGAGGAGAGTTAAGCCCTAATGAGTAGACTTAATTAGTAATATAAGTAATACTGATACCAAAAACAGATAACAGGATTTTGTTCAATGTCCTATTGGATGTATGAATAATATAATATATCCAGTTCAATCGGCAAGCAGAAAAAATAATTGAATGTGGTTTCACTGCTTTTTAAAGTTCTATGAAGATAATGTGTGTGTGTGAGAGAGAGAGAGAGACAGAGAGAGAGAGAGAGAATTCTAGGGCTTCAACTAAGAGTCATACTCTTGCTTGGTTTTAGTTTGGTTTGGTTTGGCTTGGGTTTTTTTTGCCAGTCTTGGGCCTGGTCACTGTTCCTGAGCTTCTTTTTCCTCAGAGTTAGTGCTCTACCACTTGAGCCACAGCACCACTTCCGGCTTTCTTGAGTAGTTGATTGGAGATAAGAGTCTCATGGACTTTCCTGCCTGGGCTGGCTTTGAACTATGATCCTCAAATTTTAGCCATCTGAGCAGCTAGGATTACATTACAGGCATGAACCATTGGTGCCCAGTTTCTTCTTGTTTTTCTTTTTTTATTATTTTTTTGTCTTTGTTTTTACTCATGGCTGGTACTGTACCACTTGAGCCATGCCTCTAGTTCCTAAACGTTTTTGTTTGTTTAGTTGAAATAAAGTCTTGTTAGGCAACCCTGAGTTATGTAAACTTAAAGTTGTTATGAAAGTTAGAGGCTATATTCAAACTTTCAATTTTTCTGTCTCATACTCCTGAGTGCTAGGATTACAGGCATAAGTCACTAGAACCAGCCAATAATATAATTTATGAAGTAAAGAGGGTGTCGTTGGGTAGCCAGATAGTCCAGTTACCTGGTCACATAACTATATTTTTAGCTCTCTATATACAAATAGATACATATGTAACATAAATTGTATATCATATATTATATCTACCTATCTATCTATCTGACCTCTGTTTTCTTTTTAATCTTCCCAGGCCCCTTGGTAGTCTACTGGAATATGTTTTCTCTCAGAAGCCCAAATATACATCGGACATGCTAGAAACATCTCTATACTTTATGTCCTCTTATTTAATTCTACCTATACATGCACAACAAATACTGTTGACACTGCTGTGAGCCAGGCACTGTGTAAGGGGCTGAATATTTTATGTAAACATTACTCAACATTTGCTTTAAATACTTAAAATGTAAATGAGTTCTGGCCACTCAAGCCTGTAATCCTAACAACTCTGGACACTGAGAAGTAAGCCAGACCCAAAGAAACATAGGTCCCATGGTTTCCCTTATTTGCAATAACTAGTATATGTCTAGGATAATTCTACCAGACAAGCAGAAAAGGTCAAAAGCTTTGTACATTTGACCATAAAAGATGATGCTAAGCGAAATGAACCCCAAGATATGGACACAAGAGATTTTTTCTTTGTTGCTGTTGTTTTTAATGTTCTATGATTTTTTTTTGTATGTTCTTCCCCCTATGGTATAACCTTTTGTCACTGCGTTTGATTCTGGTTTCTGCATCTTGTATATACATTTTTCTAATTTGGGGAGGGGAAGGAAAAAAACAAAATGCTTAAATAGGGACACAGGTTGACCCATTGTAACAATGAGATATACAAGACACTATGCTGAAAACGAGCTTTACAACTTGGGGGCAGGGACAGGAGTGGGGAGAAGTTGGGGAGATGGGGAAAGAAGGGACGGTAGGGGCAAAACGAAGGAGTGGGTAACAATGCTCCATAGGAAATGTACTCATTATCTTACTCATGTAACTGTAACCCCTCTGTACAGTATCTTTACAATAAACATTTTTTAAAAAAGATACATGCTTCAAAGCCAACCAGGGCAGAAAAAAAAATTCAAGTGATTCCGTCTTCATCCCCAGGAAGAAAGCTAGATTGACAATGTGCCTCATGTACTACAACAGCTGAGCAAGCAAGCTGACACAGTGCAAGTTCCCTGAGTTCAAACCCTCATACCAGTACATGTGCACACACATGAGCATGTACACCTTGAAAATGAAAATTAAGTCAGTCTCTACTTTTCTATTTTCCAACTGTTTGATAACTAATACCTTGAATTTTGTAGGGTTCTTCCTAAATTGTCTTAATGTTTGCTTGGTTTGATTTGAAAAAAAAAAAGAAAAGAGGGCTGGGAAGGTGGCTCAGTGGTAGAGTGCTTGCCTTGCATGCATGAGGCCCTGGGTTCAATTCCTTAGTACCACATAAGCAGAAAAAGCCAGAAGTGGCGCTGTGGCTCAAGTGGTTGAGTGCTAATCTTGAGCTGAAGAGCTGAGGGGACAGCACCCAGGCCCAGAGTTCAGGCCCCACAACTAACCAAAAAAAAAAAAAAAGAAAGAAAAGAAAAGAATGAGAAATCAACATAAGGTCCCACGAAAGCTCATGACCTTAACTGATCAGTCCATATTCTTTTCTCTTCAGTTCATTTCTAGTACGTAGTGACAGCACTTTTGTTGTTGTTGTTGTTTTTTTATTGTGAGAATACCTTACAGAGGAGTTACAATTACATGGGCAAGATAACGAGTACATTTCTTATCAAGCATTGTTGCCTCCTCTTTGTTTCCCTTTCCCATCCCTTCCCATACTCCTCCCCTCCCCCCACCCGATCCTCCCCACCCCCCACTAAGGTTGTTAAGTTCGTTTTTCTACATAACGACTTGTACATCTCATCTTGTTCATTTATTGTCTCACTGTGACATCTCTTACAATGATAGCCCCAGATTTCAGCATTTCTACAAGGGAGCCTCTCTGGTAGTAATCTCTGTCAGAAAGAAAATCTCATTACAGTGCTCGTCTTAGAAGCTGTGGAAATTCTATCAAATTTTTCAATTCTATAAGCTTAGTGTCCACATTCACAAGATAGAACATAATGTTTATCTCACAGAATTATAATAAACATTAGTGAGATAAATGCAATGTTCCTGGCTTATAGTACGTGATCAATAAGTGTAAGTATAATTAATATTATTTGGACTATTAAAATTGTAATACAAGAAAATGTTTGGGTTTGCTTGCTGTTTTCAAAACAGATTGAAGATATTAGGCAAGATTAGTGCCAGATCAAGACGAAAAATATTTTTAAAAAAATTATATAATCTTTCTATTTGGGAGCCAAATGCAACAGATTTGGAAGTAAATAGTTTCCATACTTGACAAATATTGAAATCTGTTTGGAAGCATCCGGCTTATTCGATGGTACAGCTTATTAGTACAAAGAAACATTCATCTTGTAGTGCTAATTTTCCTTCCTAAATTTCTAAATGTTACATAATGTGATTAAGGAAAACTATAAATAAGTAAGTTCAAATTATAACAATATCACTTCCTGTATGTTTGCTGTTTCTTATCTTGACTTTTTTCTTTATTGCCAACACTGGGATGTGAACTCAGGGCCTTGAGCTCTTACATCGTTGTTTTTGTGTTGTTGTTTTTTTTCTTCTCAAAGTTGGTGCTATACCACTTGAGCCACAACTCTACATCTGACTTTGGGGTGGTTAATTGGAGATAAAAGCCTTGGGTATTTGTCTGCCCAGGCTGGCTTTGAACAGATTTCGGCCCCCTGAGTAGCTAGGATTACAGGCTTGATCCATTGGCACTCAGGTGATTTTCATCTTTTATAAGACAGAATTCTAAGGAAAATGTAGTATTTAGACTACATTGTTCAAAATTAAAAGTGAGCTAAATGTGTTTGAGCACCTCTAGGAAATGATAGTATTAGAATACAACAAAGGAAATCTTTCCTCATACAATTAGGTGCCTTGTAGAACTCCTCAATTGTAAGAATTTGAAAATATTGTAAATTAGAGTTCATTTCCTTGGTTTCAAGTTACGTATTGTATAAGAATTAAGAAGATTCAGAACAGTTAGGGCATGTTTGTATATGGCCATCTTCCCAGCACTGTAGCAGGATCATTACAGGTTCACAGCCATCCTGGGCCTTCATACGATCTTGTCTTGAAGGGGAAAAGGCTCAGATGGGTCCCTGTGCATTTGCTGCTCAACGTTAAATACATGAATGGACAATGCCAGCATGAAATAATCCTTGCCAAGTCTGACTACATTTTATTAAGGTGCTCCTGCTCTGCATGCATGAGAATTTCTACTGTGTTCTAGACTGTATTGATAGGGAGAAAAGGGCTGAGACACTTAAATGGACTTTATTACACTATGCTCTTTGAACCTGACAGGTGTGGTTTTCCCCATATTGTACTGTTTTCAAAATCTAGCCTGCTTGGTTATTGATCTTTATCATCATCATCATCATCATCATCATCATCATCATCATCATCATCATCATTTGCAGTAGAGAACAGAGACTAGAACTATACCTAAAGCAGCCCACCAATGTGATGTCAATGGGAATTCCAGCATAACTGCAACAGAAAAAAAATACTGTTCATTTTCAGAACTCTTATTTTTTTTATTACTTATGAGGAAATACTTGTTTCTTTTTGGCCAAATCATATCCACAAAGTAAAAAAATGTCATTCACATTCATGAACCCAGGTAGCCTCATGTTTGTATTTAAGCCTGCCTAAAGAGTCCTTGTATAATGTCAAATATTTGGAACTCCTCTCTAAAGAATGACGTCCACTCACTAGGTTGATTGGATGGAAAGTACAACAGTGATGGCTTTATGACCATAATGAATCCTCCAAACATTGTTCCCTCTAGAATTCTCAATTACTTCTCCTAGAACTCTGTTCTAGCAAGCAATCCTTTGGTAAGCAATTTCTACTTGTCATGTGTTAATGTGTTAAACAGTGAGCTACTAACTTCTCTGTGTCCAGACTTATAGCTTATTTCAACCTGGAGGTTTGGCTACTGTATGCCACTAAATGTTTGTACAAATATCTTGTCTATCTTGCAGGAAATCTTGGAGTCCTAAAGTAAAATAGAGAATTTGCTATGGGGAGAATGGAGCCTTAAGATTCCCTGAGTTGGTGATGGAAGGTTTCTGTTCAATAAAATTCATGGTAGAGGGTCAATATACTAGCATTCTCAAACAGCTATAAGGCTGGGAAGTAGCAGTTTTTCCGGAAACTGTGCTTGTAAAGCTGGAGCCAGCTTACACTCTCAATAGTTCAGGGCACTACAGTATGACAATGACTTAACTTGTAATAAATAATAATTACCATTAAAATACTTTGAGTATGCTTTCGAAACCATAGTTGAGGATACTGAAGGGGAAAAAATGTAGGAGTGGAAAAGTAAATTTTCAATGGATGGATAAAAATGTCATCTCCTAAGCCAGGCACCAGTGGCTCATGCCTATAAACCTAGTTACAAGGGAGGCTGAGATCTGGGGATTGCAATTCAAAGCCAGTCTGGACAGAAAAGTCCCCATGAGACTCTAATTTCCAACTAACCATTCAAAAACCACAAGTAGTGCTGTGGCTAAAATGGCAAGAGTGCAATCCTTGAGCACAAAGAGGCTCAGGGATAGCACCCAGGCGCTGAGTTCAAACCCCACAAGGGACCAAAAAAAAAAAAAAAAGTCATCTGAGTAATTGCCATCTCCTAAATGCTGTGTCAGGCAATTTTTTTACAATGTCATTTAAATGTCACTATATCTCCCTCCTTTTTTTTTTTTTTTTTTTTTTAAGAGAAGGATACTGATGTCAGAGAAGTGTAAGATGCACTCATAGTAAAAGTTACAACTGAAAGGTGAATGCTTTTTCTTGCATCCAAAGATCTCCAGTAGAAATGAAAACATCTTTAAACTTATATTCTTCATAAGAGAATCATTGTTGGGACATTGACAGTCCTAAAATACTCTAGCTTTCCTTGAGCCGTGGTTCCTCATCTTTTGCCATTTTCAGGGAATACTTTTGTAGAAGGCAAGGTGAATGAGAAAAGAGAATGGAAACCATTCATACATTTATACATTCCAGGATGGTCCCAAATTGGAAGGTGGTGCTGTCAAAATCTCTCCATGAAGTAAGCAGATTATAACTCTTAGGGAGTGTTCTAGCTATAGCATCAGATATAATACATTTTATTTGCTTCTGTTTTCTTAGACTTACCAGTCGATGTGATAGCAACATGGATAAAAGCCACCGAAATGGCATAATCCCAAAGCCATTCTTCAACAACCAGAACAAAAAGCAATCCACAAACAAGGTAGGTAAGCTCTGTCGAGACCAAAAGAACTACAAATAAAAGAAAGATTATCATCTGAGATTAGAGCAACTAATAATTCTGTAATATAATTGACAGCAAGACTATGAACACTTTCACTAAAGAAGTTTTGGTAAGACTTTTTTTCTTTTAATGTCCCATGGTGGGAACATTAAATCCCAGTAGGACTGTGATTGGCTAGCTGCAGGAGGCTTGACTAATGTGCTTGGATTTTGAATGATGCCAGTGGAAAAATTAGTCTCATAGCCATTTATCCCTGTAAGCAAACATACAGGATTAAGAGTCGTGACCTGCAGAAATCCTATCAAAAGACAGGAGTCTCTATTTATACTTATCTCAATGATTCCAGGTATCTTGGATGTGTTACCAAAATGGCTAACCTTAGTACTTCCTGATTTCTTCTCTCCTTCTTAGAAAATATCCTTTTGTTTATGTTTTCAGTAACTCACTTAAGAAAGACAGGGGACAATTTGAGCCTATACAAGCATGGAGTTGAGGAGTTATCTTTGGTTTACTAATCTCTATTAGACTCATTCCTTACCCTGTAGGTGAAATAAAGAATTATTCTTGGCATGGGTATTTCTTTACTCATCGCCCCAGAATCTGCTAGACAGGGGCAGCACTCAATCTTCTACCCAGTCCTCAAAAACAGGTAAAAATTTCTAATATATTTTATTTTTTGATCATTGTTAGATCTACAGATAAAAATAACAAAATACAATTTCTGTTTCATATTCTTTGCACTTGGTATTTGTGAAGATAAAAATACCACAAGTAAATATTATAATACAACCTATGCATGCAAATATGCTGTTGGATTACAAATCTCATTTTAAAAGACATTAAAAAAGTAATAAAATTAATGAAAGAATTCAGTTATGAGTTTTTATTTCTGAAAACTCAGAGTAAGAGTTTTATTGAACTGTAGCATTTCTTTGGTACCCAGGAGCAACTAACTTGGAAATAAGTTCCTCTGTGTTTTTGTAATAATTTAGTATGTTCAGATAGTCATCTGGGAAGCATAATTTATCACCATAGATAAAATAGAGCCTCATAAATGGCAGGTGTTGATGGAAACACTTCTAAATTCAATGGTTGTCACAGAATAGTTTCCCTGAACACATATAAATATAGTTATTTACAGGTCAAGATCACAAATCTCTAAGAGCCCTAAACATGTGAAGGGTCAATGGTTTGCCTCTTACCTTCTAGAAGGTTCTTTCAGACTGTAGTAGTTTCAAAGGAGAGTTTTTATCAAACTTTAAGGTGACAAATATATTAGATATAGCACCAAAGTCCCTTTGTTAATAATGCCACTTTTTATTTAAAAAAATTGTTTCTTTCTTTTTATAACCTAGCCACTGATTGGTATATCCATATAATTCAGGAATCAATAAATGTGGGCAGGTAAGCACTACATATTTCAAAGCAGAAAATAAAATAATCACCTTATTTTCTATTGTGCAGAAGTAATTTATTAACCAGCAAGCTGGTGATTGCTCAGTGAACAAGGCATAACACAAACAAGTCCCAAACACCCATCTTTTGAAAGGCATCAAGCTTATTCTTCTTCAAGGTTTCAAAAGTTGAATGAATAATTCATAACTGACTGCATTTCAATTGCATGGACGTTCCTTTGGCCAGTATAGATTGGGTAAGTATATTCCACATCCTAAACTCAAGGAAGTGGCTGTGTTGTTCATGCTGAGCTCTCTTCTACCAGACGGTCTCCTTCTTCCAAGAACATGGAGATGCTTCTTTTATCAGCATTTAGAGATTTTTGTAGGTTAAAGTTTAGCTGCTTGGAAATATGACTTTAGTGCTTAATGAGCTGTATTTGCATATGTTATTGAGGGGTATTTAAGCTCCATTTTTGATATGAAAGAAGAAAGTACAATTTAAAGGAAATCATACAGAATCTGAGGTCAGAACACCAGCATTCTATTCTCACCTTCACAGCTTAAGAGTTTTAAGAACTTGAATAGGATTTTGACATCTGGATCAATCTGTTCCCTTTTAGTTAAACTGGAAATGGAACACAGTTTTATCTACCTCAAAATTTGCTGCAAGGATTTTAGTTTAAAATGAAAGGAATTTGTAAATTATTACTTGTGCCAGACACAAGAAAGGTATTAGTAATTAAAGTGGTTTCACCTGATATACATTTTCCAGTGTCCTAATTAAAACTTATCTCTTGAGTAACAGAATTATTGAAGCAGACCTTATATCCAGGCCCCTGAGATTACTCTTACATTTTATGTCCAAAATTAAACAACTCTAGATGCTCAAAGCAACAACTTTGAAGAGTGATAGCATTTATCTCCTAAAACCCCAAATTTGAGATTCAATAAACTGTGGGTTTATTGATATCTTTGTGAAAATGTTCTTATTCTGTAACATGATATAAACTGAGCTGGACATCGTGAGATCATCTCTAAGCTTTACCCTGTATAAACAATCTCCTCCAATAAGTCTTTGTTGTCCTATCTTTAATGACTGGCCTAAAGACAGACTTAAATAATAGCAGTTGAGTTTTAAATCTCTTTTCTTACTTAACACACATATATGGTCTATACTTGACTCTTCTCATTGCTACTATTTCTTTATCAGTTCTGGAGTGTCTTGGTTTAAAAAAAAAAAGCAAATTTATTTTCCAATAGGGAGATTCATGAAGAGAAGTAAGTTAAGACAAAACATTAGCTCTATTGCAACTCCTTACAATAATCATAATCACATATATTTTGGGCATCCAAAACTGAATAAATAATGGCACTAGAGAGTTCATGTATTTGAGAAGGATGTTTTAAAGGTTTTTATTTGAATTCAGTAATTCTAGGTGACCATGTTTCCTATACAAATCACATTTGAAATTTAATTTCTTTGGCCATGGGCAATTTTGAATATTTACATATCCCTCCCCCTCCCACAAAAAAAAGATTGCTCCATGGACTTCTAGTGAATTAATTAGGGAGAAGTTTTACAGAATATTAAGAATTATTACATGTAGAAAATAAATCTATGACTATTTACTTTTATTCTATTTACAGATATTTCCAAGGTGTCAATAATGGAAGATGACATTAAAATTTTACTTTTCCGAAGATGAGGCAAACTCACAAACACTCTGAAAATAACTGTTTGACATATAGTCAAACAGAAGTAGATGCTTTTATTACCATAAATACAGCTTATGAATAAACAATGTATTCATTAAATTTAAAGGAAAGAAATTTTCTTAAGTATATTCTTTCTTATTGTTGTTTCTCTGCAATTAATTGTATGTTTTGTAAAACTTTGTTTTTCAATTGACACATCGTAGCTAAACATTTCTAGTATCATGTGGCATTTCAGTTCTAATATATAATCTGTAGTGATCGGCTCAGGGTAACTGGCTTATCTATCACTTCACACACATTAATTTCATGTGTGTTGAGCACATTCCAGATCCTCTCTATAACCTGTTCTGAAGTATTCAATTAATTATGGTCCATCTTTGATAGACTACCGTTCTATAGAATATTTCCTCTGCAACAAAGAAGAAAAATAATGGAAAGCAGAAATGTATGAAGTTGAAAATGAAAGTTTTCTGTGATCCCAGTTGGGAGATAACAATTAGTGGCATAATTTTTTAGACTTCTTATCACTGACTCCATACATTTAATTCTTCAAAAATGAAATTATGTTGTACAGACTCCTTCACTGCCATATTTTCTATTTTGTATCTCCCACTTTTCTACATCAGTTCTACATCAGTTCATTGTTCTTATCCCGCTTTTCTTTAGAACACGCATAAACAAAAATTTATCCACAATACCTTAAAAGTTCATGTAAAAGTTCTATTTCCCTTCTCCTTCTTATATTACCCTGTTACATGGTCCAGAAAAGCCACTTCAAAATTTTATAACTCTTTTCCTAATTAATTCTTGAAGCCAGATATAATATACCTGAGATTGTCTAGAAAGCCTAATATTTTAACAGTTTTTATTTTAAAGAAGTTTTGAGGGGCTGGGAAGGTGGCTCAGTGGTAGATCGCTTGCCTTGCATGCATGAGGCCCTGGGTTCGATTCCTCAGCACCACATAAGCAAAAAGAAAAAAGCCAGAAGTGGCGCTGTGGCTCAAGTGGTAGAGCAGTAGCCTTGAGCTGAAGAGCTGAGGGACAGCACCCAGGCCCAGACTTCAGGCCCCACGACAGGACCCCCCCCCTAAAAAAAAAAGAAGTTTTGATTTTTGGAGGCATTTTGGAGGACAGGATTGAAAATTAATAATAATTACCTTTATAATTTGTGTTCAGCCATGAAGGACTCATTTTGAAATCAAATGGGGCCAGGATGTCCAAGTCATATACCCTGAGGTGTAACAAATGAAAATGATTTACATTGAAAGAGATAGTTTATAACTGTGCACATCAAAGATTCTCATATAGGCCACTGAGTTTCCTCATGTTGAGCACATTTGAAAACTAACCAACTTGGATGGCCAGCACATACTACACCACCATATACTCTTGTCTACATACTCTTGTCAAGAGTCTACATTTTCTTCTTTGCCAATTAAATCCACGCTGTCAACCATTTGGACTTAAATTTATTTTGAGATGTCTGATGTAATCTTTATAGTTCCTGCTAAATGTGGGAGAACTTTAAATACAGGGAAAGAAAGGGATTAGAGGCACCAAGACCCAGGTTCTAATCCTGGTGGCATTATAATGGTGAACTTGGACAATACTTAGCCTCTCTGGGCTGAAGTTTCTTAGCTGTAAATTGAAGAGATTAAACTGTGAGATTCCTTCTGATTCTAAAAACAGAATTTATAAAGCATATACCTAAACTTTCTGCTGTGCCCAGGTTTGCAACTGTGTATCTAGTCAATAAGTTAGCTGCCAGCTGGAGCTTTAAAGTCCAATTTTATAAAAATCTGAACCGCTGGCCCAGGTTCATTATAAACTCTTGAACTACCATGTTCCAAGGACCCCAAGTCTTGAAAATTTCCTGCTCCAGGTATGGTCTAAGCATCTCCAGCCCGGGCAGATGCTAGACTATGTATGAGAATTACATGATTCCTCTGTAGTTTGGTAAGCATGTTGAATGACATTCTTTTTCCATTGCAAAAGCCACTCCAACTACTTTTGTTATTAATTTTCAAATTAAAATGGAATTTCTGGCTTGTAATGGAATTACATTATGGAAACATTTAATTTGTTGGAAGTTACTTGTATATATATATATATATATATATATATATATATGTATATCTACATCTACATCTATCTATCTATCTATCTATCTATCTATCTATCTATCTATCTATCTATCTATCTATCTACATAGTTTATTTCAAAGCAGTTTTATTGACAACCTAAATTTGTAGAGAAAATTTTCAACCATAGCAAGACAAAAAAATTACCTACAAAACCATGGCCTCACACTTCCATAGAAATGATACCATTAAAAACACATAGACTATCTTTTGGATTATTATTTACATTGGACAAATGAAGACACTAAAATAAAAGAAGCTCTTATGGCTTGGTCAATATAAATTGGGAAGTTACTAAGAATCTAGGCCAGAACCTGGCTAGAATTAGGTATTCTTATCTGTCCAAAGCTGCTTCCAATATTTATCAGAAGATATGTAAGTCAAACCCACATGATCTGTAATCACTCATTTAGTTCAAACTTCCTCTGATTGACTACCAGCTCAGGAAGTAATAGACTCCCATTCTCTTTCCCTGACAGTCATCCACTGAGGTAAGAAGAGTTCTTCCTGGTTCTATTCACTATCATTTCATGATAGTTACTTTGATTATTTTCAAAGATAGGACATCGAATTATATTTATTTTAATTAATTCAAATGCCATAAAACTCTGAATTTTCTAATCTCTAAAGACCTGTCAAATATTAAACACAAACTCCTTTATTATTCTGTTAGAAGACAATGTGCCACTTACTTGAGTATCAGGCAGAACATGTATAGAGATGCATAGTATACTGTGTAGAACAGGATGACACATACCAGAAGGTTCTGCAGAACAACCTGTGGAGAAGGCAGACATAAAGTCCAAGAGCCTGGACAAGGAGGTTGGGGACCACCTTGGTATGATGAATTGCGCTTAGATAGCATTGACCAGCCTCATATGCTTAAAGACCCATGTGATGGGAGGGACTTCAACATGAACAGGGAAAGCATGACTGATAGAAGAGGCTACCACAGTTTACATGTGACCCAAGGTCAACGCAGTACAGAAATCACTCACCCTCCATCCCCTAAATCGAGTTTGCTACATGTCAGGATTTATATTTTACCTTGTCAGAATTATTCTATATCTCAGCTGTAGTGATAATAAAAGCAATAAGAACAGGTAAAAAGATTTTTGAAACAAAGCCCCCTACATGATAATACAATAATTAAATCCGTTTTCAAGAATCTGTAGAGTAATTGGCTAAATCACAATCAAAGGTCCTGGAATGGATTCTTTGCACCTGAGCCTTACCAAGTAGGCATCACAGATTAACAGGGACCAGATGGATTATTCAACCATTGTCTAGCCTCCAAGTGGAAAAACATCCCATTGGATTCCAGTCTTGTAGAAGATATCACAATAAATTTCAAATGGATTAAAGGCTTAAATGCCAAGTGAGAAATTGGTAGAAAATATTTGAAGCACAGTTATCTCAGCAAAGCTTGACATGTACAGTATATAAGCTCATACAAATAAAAGGGGCAAGCAAACCAATTGAAAAATGAGCAAAGTATATTAGTAGATGTTCCATGTGGAAAAAGGAAAACAATAAAGTAAGAAATAATCAAAGCTTGCTCAACTTCCTAGTTCATCTTTTAAAATATGTATACACATATGTATATATGCCCATATACTTTAATCTATCCAACTGTTCATAGGTACTGAGGCTTAGTCTATAACTCATGCCTGAATAAGTTTGGATATAGAGGTATGTCCGTTCTAAGCTGCCTTTGATTCCTTTAAGCACCCTTAAACACATATAAAGGAAGACACTCCTTTATAACACCCAGGAGTGTTATAGCTAGATCATATGGTACTTCTAATTTTAGTTTTTTGAAGACTCCACATGATAATCTCCATAGTGACTAGACTAATTTACATTACTAACAACAATGTATGAAGATTACTCTTGCCTCAAATCTTCATTCAGAATTTGTTTCTGTTCGTTTGGTTTCTTGGTGATAACCATTCAGAGATGAAATCTCAGTGTAGTTCTGATTTGCATTTCCCTAATGGCTAAAGATATTGAACAATTTTTCATATATTTCTTGGCCATCTGGGCTTCTAACTTTTGTCAGTTCATGTGTCTATTTTAATGCATTATTTGCTTTTTGGATGTTTAATTTTCTTGAATTTATTTTATATATTCTGGATAATTCTAGCTGGTGGATAATTGGCAAAGATATTCTACCATCTTGTAGGTTGTCTCTTCAATCTGGTAATTACTTCTTTTGTTGTGCAAAGGCTTTTAATTTGAAATAATCCCATTTGTCTATTTTTGCTGTTATTGCCTTGAGCTACTAGAATTCTGATGTTTATGCCTATAGGTTAAAATGTTTTCTGAAGGCTTTCCTTTAGTAGTCTCAAACTTTCATGTTTTACAATAAAAATTTGGACCCATTTTGAATTAATTTTTGTCAGAGTAATAAGGATCTTGTTTCTGTTTTGTACATGTGGATATCAAATTTGGCAAGCACCATTTGTTGAAGAAATTGTCTTTAATGCATGTTTTTGGTTCATTTGTCAAGAATCAGATGCCTGCAACGGCTTTAATTTTTTTATACTACATATTTATATCAATACTTAAAAAAATTGAACAGTACTATCTTCTACTTGAAAAAATGCTAGGTGATTACTTTATTTTACTTCAACCTAAAATAGGATGAATAATATAGTCTCTAAATTAAGATATAGTTTCAAACAAAATGAGATTGTTGCTATTTCTATATTAACATCAAACTTTATTTTAATTTTGTAATATATTTATTATAAATATTTGATGTTACAATCAAAATAGAAGATTATGCTACATAGAAAGCCCACAAACACTAAATATATAAAAGATTTTAGAACTAATTTTGAACATTTAAATTGTATTTTGTGAATAATATTTGTTGACAAATTGTACATTTATATGCAGAAACATCTATTTTTCCCCAGCACATTATAAAACACAACATACAAGTATAACATTAAAGTAATACATTTTTACAATGAGTTTGTAGGAATACTTTGAAAAGCCACACATACTTGTTGTGAGTAGTTCCCTTTTTCTACCTGAATCAGACCATGGCATCCCCCACTTGATATCTTTGAATCCCAGATTGTCACCAGGGTTCAGTCAACCATTTTTTTTTCCCATTTAACATAGTCACTGAATTGAGCAGCAGTACAACATGAAGCAGATATGATACGGACCAGTGAAACCTAATCTAGCAGTTGTTCTCAAATGTATAATATCAGACAGACCTTGAGGGTCTGTTAAAATGCAGATTGCTGGACCCTAGTCCTAGAGTCTCTAATTCAAGAGATCTGGGATAAGTCCCAAGAATCTGCATTTCTTTCTTTCTTTTTGTAAAAATAGGAATCTGTATTTCTAATGATTTCTTACTTGATGTTAGTCTGTTGTTCCTCTGATCACACTTTGAGAATCATTTACCTAGAGGCAAGAATCAGTAAGTTAACAGACAACTAAATACTGATTGGCACTATGGTTGAGAAGTATTCAGAATAGTAAGGATGCTCAAGGGAGAAACTGGGTAGTCTGGGTAGAGGGGTGTGTGTGTGTGTGTGTGTGTGTGTGTGTGTGTGTGTGTGTGTGTGTGTGTGTGTGTGTGTGTGTGTGTGTGTGTTGGGACACAGACAGGGAACATGTCTCCAGGAAATGCACAATAACATTTATCATAGGTGTACACTGGATCAGTTGCTGTATCAGGTATTGTCTTAGTTAATCCTTACAAAAATTCTCTTTTGGGTCCATTTTATTCCTTAAAAGAAAGTGAGGATCAGTGAGGTTTATTAACTTTTTACAAGTTTGACAATACTTTCCAGAGCTAAGACTCCAACTCTGCTCTCTAACTCTTAACCATTTTGCTGTTTGTGATGAGCTAGGCTGGGCGTGGAGAACTGCCACACAGGAGAAAGGCACTTGTGAAGACATGATAAGCTAGAGTGTTGGTTAGAGTGTTCAAAAACTTGAGGTCAATTGTGAAAGGAATCTAATGTCCTGACGAAGACTTCTGAATGTCTCTGAAGGCCTTGGGGAGACTGAAAGCTTGAAGGAGCAGTGTCGATTGGAGGAACCATTAGGTAGAAAAAGAAGTTAAATGGGTCTATAATAACCTATAGCAGCTGGGGAGCTGGAAATGAGGACAGATGTGCAAGCTACTAAGAGAAAGGAATTGAAAAGTTACATGTGTTAAGGGGGCATGGATTATACCTCCTGATGTTCAGATTTGTTTGACTGAAAGCACAGTAGAAGTAGCTAGATGAGTTTCAAATTTTTTGATTAGGAATGTAATCATTGATCTAGTAGAGTGCTTTCTGAAATAAAATGCAAACTACATAGTTAATTTAACAATTTTCCAGCAGCTACAGTCATAAAAAAATTTAAAGGGTGAAGTTAATTTTTAATGACACTGATTTAAGCCAATATATTTAGCATTCCAACATATTATAATTTCAACATGTACAAAGTATTAAAATAATTAATGAGATATTTTGTCATTTTGTTCATACTATATCTTAGAACGCAGAGCGCATTTTCCTTGTACCACATCCCCATTTGGATTAAGCATATTTCAAATGCTTAAAAGCCATATGTGACCATTGGCTACCATATTTAGATAATATGGTCTTCACTTCTGCCTCTTGTTCCACTTGATAGTCTAATTATACTAAATACTAAATACTGAAGGACTTCTATGTAAAAATCACTGTATCCAAATTTCTTATTTAATTTATCCTGCACCCCACCTCTAAGCACATATAAAACTATGGTTGATTGTTGTCTGCATATCACATATTCCAAAGCTGAAGCAAAAATTACTTCAGAAACATCTCAAGTCACGTGGCCTGCATTTGACCAGACTCTAGTTAAGATTATAGGACTTCAGCCCTTTTCTTGACCCTGTGCTGTCCTACCTAGCATTTAGTAGGTTTAAAATAAAAACATATTGAAAAATCAATTCTTCTTCACCACATTATTTTTAAGATTCTGAAACAGACTTTAATAGGGGGAGTGAATGGTCCAAGGGTATACAATTATCTAATGGTAGAGTTGAGACTAGAAATAAAATCATATTGAATTACTAAAGGAAAGGCCTTAATACTGCCTTCCAAAGGACTAAATATACAACTTCATTGTGAAACAAATATTATTATTGGGCTGGGAGGGCGGCTCCGTGGTAGAGCGCTTGCCTCGCATGCCTGAGGCCCTGGGTTCGATTCCTCAGCACCACATAAGCAAAAAGCCGGAAGTGGCGCTGTGGCTCAAGCGCTAGAGCGCTCGCCTTGAGCTGAAGAGCTGAGGGACAGCGCCCAGGCCAGAGTTCAGGCCCACGACCGGACTCAAAAAAAAAAAAAAAAAAAAACACTTGGACGGGCTGGGAAGTTGGCTCAGTGGTAGAGTGCTTGCCTTGCATGCCTGAGGCCCTGAGTTCGATTCCTCAGCACCACATAAGCAAAAAGAAAAAAGCTGGAAGTGGCGCTGTGACTCAAGTGGTAGAGCCTTGAGCTGAAGAGCTGAGGGACAGGCCCAGAGTTCAGGCCCCACGCCCAGACCCAAAAAAAAAAAAAAAAACAAATATTATTATTGCATTCTAAGAAAATCCAATACATGTAGCAATTAGATATTTAGCTACTGCCAAAATTTTTATTATTCTTTCAAAAAGATATTTAGGTTCTGGATCAAACTATAAAAAATCATTAAGAAATTAATGAGAGGCTGGGAATGTAGCTTAGTGGTAGAGTGCTTGCTTAGCATGCATGAAGCCCTGAGTTTGATTCCTCAGTA